ACACTTTTTAGCGCGGACCCGACGTCCATATAATTGTAAGTCAATGATCTAATACCAAAGTTTTGGAGTCGCTCAAGTTTATTGAGTTGTTCTTCAGTAAGATTGAGGTAGCTGACATCGGCAAAGTCTAATATGGGTAATAGAAGAGATTGTGCTAAAGCAATTGTAGTAGCAATGGGAAGACAATTTCGCAGTCTCCTTAATGATGCCGCCGAAACAAATGATGGGTGTTGTCAATTTTGATCCACTTCAAATCGACCAGTTTAACTTGAGCTTTGCTATAATGGACCTTAATTAGAAATGACATATTTAATATTTACCAATGAAATGTGATTCCGTTTGTATTATAATTAGATGTTTTGCTGTTTTTCCCACGCCACCGAATGGAACAGCCCCCCATACTTAAAGATATCTTTATTACAATAAATACAGAATATTTTTGGAGTATATGAAGACGTACACACAGGCCAGTTGTTGGCGTTGTACTATTTCAGCTTTCTAATTTTTTATTTCAGTGCAACCGAGAGTTGATATTTAAAAGTGATATAAGGCCTATTTGCCAGATGAGTTGCCAGTGATGGATGGCCCTTCTTTCGTCTCTATTTCTGGTTATATACTCGATGGTTCCACAGGACTGCACACGGCGGGCAATGTTATTTTCACCTCTCTGAGCGCGTGCTTAGGTTCCTTTTTCCTCATAGTGAGCGCCTGGTGATAGAGTGATGTATTTATACGTAGTAACCATTAAGTAATGTCACCGGATAGCCCGCAGACTACTCTTCAACTATATAAAGTAGAATTTTCCTGTTAGGTCCTATTTATTTATTTATTGAAAGATACACCATCAACTTAACACAAAACAATCTTAGAAATACATATACATACGTTCACCATACAAGGTGTCAAGTCGCTACAGGTATACAGCACTAAAAATTTAGAGTTAGCCAATGAGATACAAAGAATAACCTAAAATAATTAAAAAAAAAGTCAAATGACAGCAATAAATTGATTACAAAAGATTGGAGAATGAAACAATGAGACTAAACTGCTTAGTGTACATGAAAACAGCATTAGAGCTCCTTGTGAAACAGTCCGCCAGGGAGGGTAGGACTGCCACCTTACCTATTTCTGCTACCAAGTAGTAATGTTATCATTACTGTGTTCCGGTTTTGAAGGATAAGGGTGCTGGTAAAATTACAGGCACATGGGACTTGTCAACTTATAATTATGTGTCTCAGGGTGACGGGCGCAGTGGCAGTGCCCCTCAAATCTTTGCGATTTAAAGCTCTGAGTGGCACTGCAACTGTTATGGACAGGCATGTTGCTTACCATCAGGAACACGACTTGTTCGCCCCGTCACATGATATTATTAAAAAAAATAAGAAATGACAGATGAATGAAATATTAAATTGATCTAGACGAATTGTTAGCTCCCAGATCTGGGCGTTTTTAAGTATGTTATGAAAAAACTCTTGACATAAATTACATTTTAATGTAACATATAAATTCCTTATTAGCAACTAGCTTCTAAACTGAACCCATTTTGCTTTTTGGACGCCAATATTGTGCTTTCTTCCAGGCCTTAAGGTAACAGCGGTAGATATAGACCCGGCGATGCTGGAGGTGGCCAAGAACTATTACGAGTTGCAACTCGACGAACATTTGGAGGTGCAGATCAAAGATGGCCTGGACTTTTTGAAGGATGAAGCTGATAATAGTAAGTGGTAGTGGTTATAACGTTTTTTTTTATCTTTTTCTTCTGCCACTATTTCTGCCGCCAAGCTGTATTGTGAGCATTACTGCGTTCTGTTTAAGGGTTCTGGTAAAATTACTGGAACATGGTACTTGTCAACTTATGTCTGTTACGGGCGCAGCGGTGGTGCTCTTCAGACCATAGTTTTTACACAGCATAGCGGGATCGTTGGGTTACTTTAGTTAGCTCGGTTAGCTTAGTTCGCGGTGTGATCTACGCTTTACTGCATAACTTATTTTTATTTTACTTCTACAAACTTACTTTTTATCTCCACTTGCGATATTCACGATTGCAGAGCTACAGTACTCGGCAGTTATGTTCGACATGGACAATAAGGATCGGTCGCTCGGCCTGTCGTGTCCCCCGCCGCAGTTTCTGGAAGCCGACGTGATGGCACACGTGCACAGCATATTGACGGATGATGGTGAGATATCTTTTATCCGTTTTTAGTACCATGGATGGATATCGCAAATTGAACATTATTCGATGTGGACATTTTGCGATTCGTAACGTTTAAGAGTATACACTAACTCGGCTCGCATTAAAATTGGTCCCATACTGATACGAGAAATCCCAATAGACTAATTTTTTTTGACGTACCTAAGGTAGAAAAATATAATCAAAATTGTTTGTGTATGTGTGTCAGAATTTACAATAGATTACCAAATGACATTAAACACTTGCCCATGACATTATTTAAGACTAAATTATATGAATTGTTAAAGAATAAAGTATATTACAGTATTAGGGAATTTCTACAATAATTTTTATGTAAAAGAATTTAAATTAATTATATATAACTTAATGGAAACGTAATCATGTGACGACCTATTTTTCATTTATTTTGCATGCCTAAATTATCTTCGGGCGAAACATGCTTGAACTTATATGTATATTACTGTGTTATCATGACCACCATGTTTTATGCAAATAAACGATTTGATTGATTGATTGATACGGTTCATTTTACTTAGATCGAGCGGCTGGGACACTGGGTTTATTTCACAATTATTTTTTTTATAAACGAAAATAAAGCCTATTGAAAAATGGATATCGTAGACTATACGTGTTCTATTTAGCTCAGTTGATATAAAAAAATATCATTGGTATATGTAAAATACCCATTGAATACAGCGGTTTTCTTGATAAATTTCGAGGTAAATTTGTGTTTTTTTCTATAGTAAAAATTATTAGGAATCGTGTTTTTACTATATATTTTTTGCAAAGCGATTGATTCAATACTTTGACTGTTATGCCATTTGAGCTTGTATAGACTCTTAAAAATTGGCCATTTTGCTATTAGGACGTTTTATGAATAAAATTCATTGACTTACAATTATATGGACGTCGGGTCCGCGCTAAAAAGTGTCCGCACTTGTAAGGCGCTAAAATCGTATACAGAGCGCGACACTCCGCTTTAGTCTTCATTTGTTCTACGGACAGCGCGATACTGCGATGACATAACAATTTAAATTTCGAATAGGTTGACTTGGGACATTTTTTTCGTGGTTTTTGTATTAGACCCGTCGTCTATTTATTTGTAAGTCAATGATAAAATTGGTCGTTTTGCAATTGAAATATGACATTTTTTTACGTTACATGTCATAAAATATAGATAATACATATACATACCTACATTAACAAAAAAAATATTGTTATAAATTTGCATACTTCTACAATAATTGACAATGCAAACACATGTTTGTAATTCTCCGAAAGTACAACAGTATGAACAATTTTATTGATGAATCGAGCTAGCCAATATAATTGTAACTGCGCAGTGTCAATAATAAAATAATGAATTCGAAAAAGTAGTATTTGAGAAACTATGCTACTTGGCTGACCCCAAATATGACAAAGATTTATTTGATAGCTGCGACCATGGGACCAGTAAAGAGCCCCAAACATTAATTACGGACGCATATGTCCGTCACTCACTCGGCTAGGGCCCATTGAAAACCAGTGTCACAGACTAGTCTTGGTTGTGACTTTAGCTGAATGGGATACTTTTGCATACGCCACAGCCGCACACATGTCAATATAGTATTATTCAACTTGTTGTTTAAACAAGTTGATCAACATTTTTTTTGTGTTATTTCTGTTTTTATTGCTTTTTTTTATATTGTGGCGTTGCAATAAATGGTTTCTATTCTAATTTGTTTAAAAAAAGAATGATGCGGCTATTTTTTTTTTATATTTCTTTTCAACAGACAGACGCTTCGGGCTCTTTATACTGGCATGGTCACGGCCGACTGAGATCTTAGCCATCAACCAGTTCTATTAATGCGAACCACCCTATTGTTCACTTACCTATAAATTCATACAATTTCAGGCCACTTCATCCTGAATCTAGTCTGCCGTGACACCGACCTTCGCGCCTCAATAGTAACAACGCTGAAGCAGCATTTTAAGCACCTTGTCTCAGTACAACTGTTCGAGGAAGTCAATGAGATCATATTCGCTACGAACAACGATCAAATTTATACAAATGAGTTGTTAGAAGAAGCAGCTAAAGGGTTGAATGCCACTGCAAGACAGGTTAATTTGGTAAAAGTGAAATGTGTCGATTTGAAAGACTTTTTATCATCTGTTAATGTCTTGTCATAGTTAATAAATTATCTTATGTGGCTTTGTAATCTTATGTTATAGCGTTTAAAAACTAAATTTCGCTGAAGGAAAGAAAAAGAACAAAGAATATTCCATAGAAGTTTCTTTTCGGAACAAATCTTCTGTTACCCAGCATTCTGTAAATTTGTTATTTGTAAATAATATTGATGTATAAAATTACTTATAAGATATATTTTGAAATGAAAAATGTAAATAAAACCAATGCATTTAATGCCATTCTTTGTTTTCGAGTCACACCCATCCTTCCACAATTTCACTTATTGTCGACCCTCGAACACCGCGCATGCTAACAAATGCAAAAACCGAAACACGCAATATTTAGGCTCCCTAATTTATCATTATCACAATTGGCACCTATTGAGGTCTAACAACAATACATTTACAATAATTTAAATACAATACATTATTATTAGCGAGGAAATAAATTACAATAGCGTTCCGCTACAGCTAAGCGGACAAGAGATACAATAATATAGCAATTAATTCGATAAAAAGTCCACAAAACCTCAAAATACTTTCTTGAATATATTCTTCAGACTTTTCCGTTTTTTGCCGCCACCCTCATTCGAACCGTTCTGTGATATTTCTGTAGACTCCGACCATAGGCTGCCCGTGGGCGACTCCGAGGCAGCCTTTTTACCTATCTTCCCGTTGAACATCGGTTCCACGGGCTGTACGACTGGGCTAGGAGTACTTCTAGTACTCTGCCTGCTTAAAGTTCTGAGAAACGCTGGAGACGAGAGCCGCCTCGTCTTTATAGTCTTTGCCTTTAAATTGTTAAAGAAAGACCCGTTCGTTTTGGGTGCTTGGGTTTTCGGCGGATTCTCGATGTTGCCATTGAATTCCACAGGCTCGGAGACGGGAGCATAGAATTCTTCTTCGTCTAACGGAATAGGATTTTCTTGCAACTTCCCTATGCTATCCTGTCGGTGCCATTCAGACTTTTCTAAGTTCCTGTGCAATATTGATGTTTTTCTCCGCCTGTTCTTTTTAGCAATCTGCCATCCGCCTTCGTCATCGTCCTCTCTGGTCGTCTCCTCAGCAGATTGCCTCGCAATTTGCAACGCCTCCTCACTCGGTCTCCGTTTCTTCGCCGACGGTGTCTCATGGCCGCTGACGCCTTCGACCGATTTTCTTCTAAACTTATCCTGCTTTTTCCTGGATTTTCTTGAAATCTGTACTAATACAGGTTCAGGTTTCCGTCTCGTTATTATATAGTAGATGACGGCACCGACTATGATAGCTTGGAATAGGAGAAATTTGAAGAAAGTAACGTTTCCGAACCAACTGTCCCGTTCCTCCGCGAGTATTCTGACAGTAGCGGCCATTTGTGCTAGCTGATCCTGGAGGCTGGCCATTTGTTCGAGGTACTTCTGTTCCCTCTCGTTGCTTTTTCGGCGCTCCTCGGTCATCTGCAACACGGTCTTCTCGAAGGTCTTCTGCATCTCCTCCACTTGTTTTTTGTACCGCCTGCTCAACTCCTCGAGGTATTGCCCCGAGAGAGACATGTTGCGTTCCAATGCCTGAAAAAAGATGATGTAAAAATTAGGTCCATGCTAAAATTATTTTACGCTTGGTTTCAATATTGGGAACTGATCAGATCATTAATGATAGCCATCAATTACTAAAATTCTAGAGTACCGTTAAACCATAATTAGAAGAATTTATAAAAAGTTATATTTAAATCACCATTAATTTGTTTTTCTGCTTTAGTTTAATTCTAGAAAACTAATGAGACATTGCAGATATTTGTGTCCTCAATAAATTAATTACGTGCTCACCTTAACTCTATTAGAAAGTCTCAGAAAGACAGACTCTTTCTGAAGGGTAGTTTGCGCCTGGTTTTGGCTCTGCGTATGGCTGCCAGCCGGCGTAGGGTCCACGGCCATCTGATCCAGTTCCGACATGAAACTATCGTTGTCTATTATCATCTGGTCGCTTTCTTCCATTACATTCCCGTTTTCCTTTGGTTTCTCGGTTGTCATCTCTACTTTACCATTTTTGGTATCAGGTTTAGGAGTTGCCTCTTTCTGATCCAGCTCAACGACTAGGTCCACAGATTTCTCAGCTTCAGGAGTTATTTTTGTATCTTCAGGTTTATCTTGTACCGCTTTTTCTTCAATAGCAGGAGGAACTTCATCTTTTTTGTCATCAATTTTATCTTTTTCTTCTTTTGGTAAATCTACAGTGACAGCTACACTTTCCACCGTTTTTTCGGGTGGAGTAAGTACAGTTTGCACTGTATCGTTAATTTTATCGTTCATCGAGCTATTATCTTTATCCGGCACTAATTTTATATCCTGTTCTGAACTGGTGTTGCTACTTACTTTCTGCGGCGACTCTTCTACAGTTATATTAGTGGTAACATTCAATTCACTTTCGAAACTAGTATTTAAGACGACCTTCTTCTCTTTAATAGCTAGTATATTGCATAGCGCAGCTAAATATTTTGGCGGAAACAAAGCATTCATATAGGTGACGCGTTCGTTACTGAATTCTAATGTCTTTGTACTTTTGAAATCAAGCCCGTAAGACTGACAGATGCCCGTACATTTGAGAGTCTCTTGCAAAAACACCTGGCGCACTAAACTAGTCAGTTTGTCCGAGCTACAACTAATCAGTTCATACACTTCATTGTATAAAGTCTCACTGCAGTTATCACACACTATTATATGGCTGGGCGAGCAACACCGTTTGTACATTTTATCTGTGGATGTATCGTTGTGTTCACTGGACACATTTTTATTAGGAACTTCAGTTTTGACTAACGCTTGCGCAGCTTTCTTCATGATAGACATGACTGCGTCTCTCGCGGAGCCGAATAAATTTTTTGAAGGTTCCGACTCCGCGACGGTCACGTCAGGCCCGTCGATGATTTCATCATCTTCATCCTCGTCGAGTGCAGTTGCGTGCTGAGAACTTTCCTTCTCGAGCACTTCGAATTCTGAAGTCCCGTACACTTTGAACAATGAGATAGGACAGTAGTGTTCAGAACCGTGATGCGATACCATCTCTACTTTAATAAATTTTCCGAATAAGTGTGGAAACAGGTCAAAACTTTGTACATCTCTCATGTCTTCTGCTGTAAACTGACCGACACTGGTCCAATCCCGTGTGGGGAACCGATCGCTGAAGTAAACTGCGATGTCTTTAGGGGTGGAGGAGAATAGTTCGAAATTGGCTATCTCTATCTTTTGAGCTTGGACAGCTTCGCAAAGCTCTACCACGAACCAAATGCGACTGTTGCACGTGTTCAGCATGTACTCGTCCCTATTCGGCGATAGGATGGAGCTAGGCGATCCCGCCTCAGGATTCACTGCGACGATTTTCGCACCACAAGCGAGCGAAGCGTAGTTTTTCGACCGTATTTTAGTGTTTTTATTACTAATGTTAGTACTGCTATGACTAGTTTGACTTGAATGATTTAGGACAGTGTCTTTTTTCTCCGCCTCGGCGAGTTGTTTCTGAGCCCACTCTGAGAAAGAAGGTATGTCTTCCTGGGGTATATCCGGTTTGGTTGGAATGTTTTCTTGTTTCAGTTCTTCCTGAGATTCTGTGGTGCTTTCTGTGTCTAGTGGAGGCGGGGTTAGAAATGCATCTTCCATCTGTCTAGGTTCTTGCATGGGTTTGGCTTTGACTATAAGCCGTGGTTCTGACGGGTCTTTTTCCTTGTTGTCCTCTTCGGAGTCATTGCTTTTGCGGATAATTAATATCTTGGTGTCATTGTGCTGTTCAGAGTGGTTGAGCTGCTGCACCAGCTCGTCGGGATTTTTGAGATCCAACTTGGCGTTGTCTCCGAGGGAGATAAGTATCGGTGGCTGCCCCGTGTCAGGTAACCTGAAACAAAACGAAAGGTCGCATGAAGTTTTACCGTAAAAACTTAAACTGCGCAGTTTAAGTAACTGTAAAATAGATAGGTTTAAGTAACGCTTAAAGTTACAATTTTAATTGTTTATTTCTAGATTAACGACCGTTTGATTATATTAATGACGTGTTGTTGTCTGTTATATTTGTCACGCATGTTTTTTTCAATTCAAAGGCCATCATTTGAATGTTCAATTGAACCAATAAGCGTGCTCTACTAAACTCTTGCGCGTTGAATTTCTCATAATAAAATTATTATTACGTTCTTGTATTGGCTCGGAGTCCATATTAATATTTCAAAGTTATTAAACATCAACGGCCTCGACCATTATAATGTGAAACAATTGTTGGTGCTTAACGAATCGAGAAACTCTTAGAATAATATGAATATGGTATTGAAACATTCATACTGGAAGAATATCGTGCCGAATCGAAAGTTTAAAACAAAACGAGAGAGTATAACAGAATTGTTAAAAACATTCACACAAAAATATAACATAAATGTTGTAATCCCAAAACAATAAAATACCATCCCAAAGCTATATTTCAAATATTACGTAGGTTGATAAAACATTATTCACTCATATGTCAGGTACAGAAATAAAACCATACACTTTTTTGTATCATGCAATGAAAGGGCGCTGACTCAGCAAATGCCTAAATATCCTAAAGGTGCTTTCCACCGGCAAAGCGAAACGAGACGAGGATTGAAAGTTGTATGGCAAAATTTCAATTCTCTACTAGCGTATCTTCGGTGGAAACGGTCTGGATTGACGAGGATAGGCGAGAGAATTTAAATATTTATTGATGTAATATTGAACCGTATTGCCGCCTAAATAGAGTATTATACTCTGCAACGGAAACATGATTTCTCGCACGAGCTCGCGACGGCTATAATGTCGATCGCGAGATTGTGGGGTACATACAATTGGAGATTTAAAAAAAGATGGCTAAATCTGATTCTTCTTTCGTTAACATATTTTATAATAATAATTTTCATAACATGTTACTTCAGCCGCATGTTTATCGCTAGACGAACAGAACAGTACTGAACCTTCACTATCCACAACCACAGCGCGATCTCACGCTAGCTATTAATGGCAATTTTTGGTAAAAATAGGCCAGATTTAAATTCTTGTCTCGCCTCGCCGGTGGAAAACCACCCCAAGGCGCTGCTTTTGAGTCGGATTCAATGTTACAACATAAGAAAATGAGAAACGGCTTTGAATAAATTATTATTGATAAAAATATCGAACAAATAAAAGACAACTGCGTCTGTGGTCGAACGGTTACCATGCCGGACTGCCACGTAGAGGGCCCACCTTGGATTCCCGGGCCGGGAGAAATATTTGTATGGCCTACATTTATTTCTCTCGTGCGGTTGGGTGTAATTTGTGATTGTCTGTGTCTATGGCACCCGCGACAAAGGAATTCTCTAGTGCGGGGCTATGTTGATTGTGTGCGTTATTATTATAATATAAAGAAAAATGTGTAACTTCCGGTGTCCAGAATGCTTCTCAATACAATAGCTTGAGTAGTCATGCAGATCTTGACATACATTTTGACAGTTTACCCCGTCATAAGGGTAAAGTTGTCGCGGCCCACTCGTCAAATACTTCGTTTCAATCCATTTTGAACCTAAAGCAAACAAATTTATTTATGTTATGTGTAGTTATGGCCAATTGTAATGCCAACTACAAATCGATTAATTAATTTAATGAATCGATTTGTTCAATTGAGTCATACGAGCGTATTTCCTTACATAACTTATATAAGCATATTTAAAATTTCCCTAATCCTTACTCTTAGATACTCGTTCGATTGCGACTGAAATATTCGATTTAGTAATCGATTACAAGAACATTAATTGGATGAACCGAATGTTTTTGTCGTACACTATGCAACTATAGACAAGTCATAGTTGTATAGTTAAAAAATAACGTCACTTTTGGACTAACATTTTTTCAAATACGATTGTACGATGCTATTCAAATGAATATTGTCGGAAAAAGTGATTAATAAGTAACACGTGAAAGTGTTACTTATTCGTTTTATTGAGTGATTGATTTAGAATTTTAACCAAACAGTTTTGTTCACTATTTGTTCAAAATGGATTGGAACAGACATTTTTACTGATTATTTTTGGACTTTTCAATTTTGTTTTTTATTCATATTTTGATTTGAAATTTAATCCGATGTAAACAATAGGAATTAAATGTATATTTTTAATAGAATAATGTATAAATAGTTTATTATTTTAATGATGTTGTTTTTAAGTGATTATGGCAATTATGTGTTCCGCTGTAATTGGCTCACACACTAGTCTTGTATTATTATAATAATGTATGTAAATGTTAAGTATGTGAAACTGTTACTGAACCAATAAATAAACAAACAAATAAAAATTCCTTTAGATCCGACTGAACTCGAACCAGTGTCTGTTGTCTCACCATGGCTACCGCTCATAACTGAGTTACAGGTCAAATCAACAAATCTTACGAATTTGTCTATGTGCTTGCTACAGACATTTATATTGGGTTTAAGCGTTTTTTGCCGTAGCGCCACCTATCAGAAAAGCATGAAAGTTTTTTACCTAGCCTCAATCTTCACAGCTACGAGTACCAGAAGACTAACAGAGATGTCGCTATTAATTGCAATGCTTATTTTACTGAATATCATAATGTTTCTGAACTACTACCATGTATTTTTCGTGAAAATAATCCACTTGTTCGTTATTATTGTGTTGTAAAGATCGAACAGACATGGAGATAAACGCCTTCGGTCCACTGGACTCGAACCAGTGCCTGTTGCCTCACCGTGGCTACCGCTCTCACTAACTGAGCTTTGAGTAAAGTTATTCATTGCAAAATATATAATAAAGTATAAAAATACCTTATAGATATGTTTTTGTTGTTACAATTGAGACAAGCTGATGCAAATCATAATAGCAATTTGCAATTTAGAAAAGTTCAATAATAGAAAATGCTATAATTATTTTAATTTTTTATGGAGGGAAGTTGTATAGATTTTAATCGTGATGACAAACAGTAGTGGACAACAATACGTTGTGTCACGCGAGAATAACAATGCCTTTTCCCTTTTTAAGCCAAATAGAGATCGAAAAAGAAGGTATCATAAAGTGTCTACCAGAAAAGATGATGTTATCTTATCTACTGAAAATATAACATAATTTACGTTAAAAATACTATATGTCGCTGAATCCACCACAAACCAAACTTTTTTAATCGATGTTTGTACGTATGTAAGTAATTTATTGTGCCACAAAACAAATTATAAATTTTAAAAATTGTTAGTGTGCCAAATCGAGCTTATCCCATAAAGAGATTTGTATGATTGGTTCCGATTTTTTTTTAATTTGGCAGATACACCTACCAGCTAACCTTTCGATGATTCCGATTTTTTTTTAATTTAACAGATGCATATAATCAAAGTAGTATTCGCGAAAACGCACACTGTTAAAAGAATAAAATATAGAGCCGGTTTGAGTTCCATTTTCAAATTTTCACAATTTGTTTAGAATTGAAGTTGGAACACGTTTTTTCTTTATTAACTGCCTCCGTGGCGGTTACCGTGCGTGACTGCCACTCAGAGGTCTCAGGTTCGATTTCCGGGCCGGGAGAAATATTTGTATGGCCTATATTTATTTCTTTCGTGAGTTTGGGTGTAATTTGTAGTTGTCTATGTATGTGTACATGGTACTCGCGACACAGGGTTTCCCTAGTGCGGGCTATGTTGAGTGTGTGCGTTATTATTATTATTGTAAATTGGTTCATTAAGAAAAACGCAAATATTAATTTTACCAACTAAAATAGAAAGATTTAAGATCTTCAAAATTGATTCATTTGTTTTATTTTGACGACTAATTTAGACAAGAAAGACTCATTTGTTTGAACAATCGCCCCAACGACGTTTTTTGTGATTTCTTGCATCTAAAAAAAATCGTGGTTTTTTTTGTTATATGACATTCTTTTGCGTAAAATTAAAAAAATATACATAGGAAAACATTTATTTAAAAAAGTGTTCGTTTTGACGTGGTATAAGCAATACAAGGCCTCATCTGAGGTGCTTAGACGCGTAGAATCAAGGTAGAAAGTTGTGGATATATTTTAGAAGTAATTCAATGTTACTTTGTAAATAAATCTCTTTAATAGGTTCGTTTATCGGCAGGTTGTTAACATTCAACATTTTATATTATATGTCGTTAATTATTGTGACTTTTAATCAGTGGTTATCATAATATAATATAATTGATTTAAAATATAATAAATAAAATCAATAACATTGCTTTTATATCACGTGACAAAAACGCAAGTTGAACGTCAAAACTATCCAATGAAATGTATTAAATATCGCGTGATATGCAGTAGCAAGTGACCAATCACACTGCTTTAATTGTCACGCGAAATGTAGCAGGAAATTTTAATTGGGCAATGAAATCGATTTTAATAATTCTTAAGGTATATTTTGCTATTATTTAAATCTTACGTGTAAAATATCTTGGTGAGTCCTTGGTGGCCACCGTACGCCAGCAACTGGCACAGTAGCAGCGCCGCAAGAAGCGCGCGCGCAGGCGACATAGTCCCGCCGACGCCGCATTGGCCACGCGCCCACACACCTATCCCGCTACCCCTTTCTACACGACTCACTGGTAAAGTAACCTCCTTTTAACACCCAAGATTGAACGTCCGGTCACTTCGCCAGTACACTCTTATGTCCAATATTAAGTTCGACATGTACCGTAAACACACGCTTCACTTTATATAATATGAAGTTCGTTTTTAGTGCCTTAAGCACTTTTGTTTCTATACACAATTCACTTTGCCGCAGATAGCTGCTAATAGCTATCCAAGATTGTGATACGGTGTCTTAATTTCCCACGAGGATGTTTGTTGAATTGACACAATGACTGTTGATGCAACAGATCTGTCGTACTAAAACACTGTCTGTGATTGTCTGTTCGTGAGTCATGTAGTTTTTGCTAGGTAAACGTCCGCGCGTATGAGCTGACATAGCGCGATTATTGTTCTGTAATATAAGGGAACAAAAATAATGTCCACATTTTATATCGGAAATGAAACTATTTTTTTTTTTAATATAAATTGCGTATACCTATTTCTTTTTTTCAAACATGTCAATGCCATGGGAGATCTGAAGCAATCACGAAAGCCTAAAAACATTATATTTAATTTTTTTATTCACTAAACGATTATCACTAATTACAGGTTTCCGATTCATTATCACTAGTTACAGGTCTGCCGCTGGCCAGTCAACCCGTGACTATGGAGCGTGAAAAATAATAATGTCATATCGTGGTAAGAAACCTGTAATTAGTGATATCATTTTATTTTTTTAAATCAACCCTACTTCAAGGAATGTGGACGACAACGCGAGGAAAGATAGACCACGACGTAATCTCGGTCAGATTAGGTATGTCTTTAAAAAAGGTCCTGTTAAAAGTACTGAGAATAAACCGGTAAGTATGAAGATAATGACGCTATAGGAGGAGGCGGCAGGCTTGTCAGGAGCGTAGCAAGATTCACGGGCTCTGCCTAGCGTAGTGGAAGATAGGAATGTTGTGGTATATATGTGGGTATCTATTAATATTATATTATCTGTCAACTTTTGACATAAAAGTTAGTCTCGCATTGCGTAGTTTCAATGGCATTTTGTCACTTACCTAATTTCCTTGTATAAACCATCTGGCGACTAGGACACAGTGAAAATGTCAAAGTTTAAATAAAAAGACCGTGTTAATATGACGTTTAATAGTGCAAAGGATATGAACGGTTTAAAAGAATTTAAGGCGCATGTAGACCGATGGTCAACGTACATGACATGTTTGATAGCGTGGTTTACGATCAATGTCGTCAAACCAGCCGAACAATTTAAATATTTCGTGGCTGCCATCGGTACAGAAGCCTAAGATCTAATTATTGAACAGACATCAATCAATAATATTGAAAAGCTGGTAGAAGAATATTTTTCGCCCAAAAGGCCTGTCATTGCAGAGAGAAATGATATTTCGATCGTGTAAACAACAAGAAAATACAACATAGATACCCACCTATATATATATGATGGTATGTATGTATCGGTTTGTAAGTAATGGAGTTTGAAGTAATACGACAACAGAAATATCAATTAATGTAAGGGACAAACCATGGTTTTTCAGGAGAGCCAAAAAGCGATTTTATTTTTTTAAATCTGTCTATAACTTTTTACTGTCAGCTCCAATTTTGATTGTGTCTAGAGCAAAGTTTCTTAGAAATTCCACTTCTTTCATGCTATAAGCGAAAGATTTAGGAATGCCCAGTGGTTTAAAATATAGCATGTCCCTTACATTAAAAAAGATATTTAGTTATGCCTTACGTTACTAATATTTTATGTGTAAACCGTCGAGCATAACGTAATTCTATTGTAAAGGTATTAGTAACGTAAGAGACATGCTATGCATGCTATGCATTCCAAAATGTTAATAATACCAATCGATAGAGCGGGAACTTCCGAATCCAATGATATACATATGCTCATTTCTCAAGTCATTTTCGACAAAATGTCCTTTACGTTAATTGATATTTCTGGTATCGAATAGTTGCATAATAAAAGCGCACGTATAAATATTTTTCTAGAATTCACTAAACAATTATGCACAGGGTATCTTTGTGCCACATTGCTATCTAAAGTGGTACATAACACAACTAACGAGTACAACGCATAAACTGTGATTGCCCCCGTCAATTGCATAAATGATATCGCTGTAAGTAGGTACATCGTTTTCATAAGTGTTTGAGATCGATTACTTCTTCTACGTGACGCGCACTATAAGTTTCCGGAATGAATAAGAAAAAAAATATTGTAAATGGTCAGAAATTAATTTATTGTTACTCAAAATATTCTCCTTTAGCGTTAATTCACTTTTTCATACGAAAGAACCAATTTTGAAAACATTTATGCCACTCCTTCGTGACAATCTCTGAAATATATTTTTCATACTCTTCGACTGCCTCTTCAGGTGATGAAAATCGTTGCCACAAGATGCCAGGTCGGGACTATACGCGGTATGGCTCATCCTTATTATGATACGGCGTTTACGGTTATTTTTACAGAGTTTGTCAATAACGTCCGGCAAACAAATGGTCGTGTACCAATCACTAATCACGGTACAATGATTCTCCAAAGCAACAGTAGCCACGTGTCCAGTATTATTAAAAAAAGAAGCAATAATCCGCTTAGAGGCACTTTGCACGCGCGCCACTTTATTTGTTCGTATGGCCTACATTGATTTCTTTCGCGAGATTAGGTGTAATTTGTGGTCTTCTATGTGTGTGTCCATGGCACTCGCGACACAGGGTTTAATTAGTGCGGGGCCGTAAAAAAAAGGACAACGAAAAGAAAAAATATCATCCTGCTCATGGACTAAAAGTGTTGTTGCACTTAAAATTATCCGTTAGTAAATCTATTTCGGAACAAGTAAACAAAATACCTGGCGCGGTAATTACCTAACTACCTACTTGTCATCAGCTGTTTTATATAAAAACTACAGATTATGTCATACAGTTATGTATGCGTAGCTATTTTTGTTGCTAATTGGAAGTTATTGATGTTCGTGATAACGGTAAGGTAAACATGCGAAATATGCGAAATATTGACCATTTAATATTTGCAGTTTTGCACCGGTTCGATGTCTGTAACAAATTCCCTAACTCCTACTATATATTTTTTTTCATGATACCAATGACGGGACGAACAACGTGTTAAGTTAGACGCCTGTTCATAACAGTTGCAGTGTCATTCAGAGTTTTAAACCGCAAAGATCTGAGGGGCACTGCCACTGCGCCCGTCACCCTGAGACATCAGTTAACAAGTTCCATGTGCTTGTAATTTACAAGTACGATGCCCTTCAAAACCAGAACGCAGTAATGCTTACATTACTGCTTAGCGGCAGAAATAGGTAAAGTGGTAGTACTTCCCTGGACGAACACTTTCACAAGTAGCTCTGCTGCTAGTAGATTGTTGTACAACACTTTCCATTAAATGCGATTATATAGTTTTCTTAATAATTATTCAAAATAGCTCTACGAATTGCATCAATCGGAAATAAGTGTTATTTCATAAAAATCGTAATTTCACCAATTTGTTAAACGAAATCGATCGTATTATATAACGTTACATTTACACTAGAACAAATTCATAAAATTTTGCGTAATACGAGTAATTAAAATTTACCTTATCTGTTATATAATTATTACGTAAGTCGAAGAATAATAGAGACTCTGTATTGTATTTTATCAGCGTGCATCATTCGATTTATACAATTTAGTTATACAAGAATACAATTATCTATTTCCTAATTATCATTGTCGCTATGTCACAATTTAAAATATAACGGTTATTAATGTCCCATCAATTTTGCTGTCGTGAGTACACAAATTTCTCACGGAGTTTTATATACGAGAACCAACAAATTCAAATACTTAAGTACATTTTTTAAGGACGAAGAAGTTGTGGGCCTGGTGGTAAGCGTCACGTCTGTCAATAACTGTTGCAGTGCCACTCAAAATTTTAAATTACAAATGTCTGAGGGGCACTGCCACTGCGCCCATCACCCTGATCCCCCAGTTGCCACGCTTTCACGTACATTAATAGCTACTACTAGGCGACAACATTTAAATTTCTGCCCGGCCGCGGCGCGGTCGCCGCGTGGACTAAAGAAAAGCCAACCTCGCCCGCGCGCCCGGGATGCTCATTTAAGTTAAAACGTAAAGGTTAAATAAATAGAGCGTACTTTGCCATGACAGTTAGACGCACGCGGTCGTTGCGCGGCGGCGACGCGGTTACCGCGCTGCGACCGCGTGAGCGCGATTAAATTCATGTCAAATAAATGCGCCCAGAGACATAAGTTGATAAGTCTCATGTACCTGTAATTACACCAGCACCCTTATTACCCTTCCAGAACTCAGTAATGCTCATATTACTGCTTGGCGGCAGAAACAGGTAAGGTGACAAGTGTGTCCTGAGACGAACTCTTTCATAAGAGAAGTGGGAAAAGGCCCACGCCCGTGCCCAGCAGTGGGACTAAGTAAAGGACTAACTATCATATTATTTATTGCACCAAATAAATACAACAGAAATATTACTTTAACAGAAGGTGAGCAAAGGTGGAGTTATCTCTCAAAAAGATTTCTCTTCCACCCAACCCAGGGCAGTGAGTGATAAAGAAATATAATAAACTACATAAATAAAATAACAAAAAAATCGTTACTTACGTAAGTATTATTATGAAACATAATAAATAGCATCCATATACATACACATAACTTACCTATTTCTGTCGCCAAGCAGTAATGTCAGTATTAATGCGTTCCGGAGTTGAAGGGTAAGGGTGCTGGTGAAATCATAGGCACATGGGACTTGGCAACTTATGTCTCAGTTTGCGATTTAAAGCTCTGAGTGGCACTGCAACTGTTATGGATAGGCGTGTAGCTTACCATCAGGCGCGCACGACTTTGTCCCGTCACTTAATATTAATATAAAAAAAACATACATCTTATATACATATATAGGGTACACATACATAACAAAAATATGTAATAAAAACAAGACCATTAAATACAAAGAGTTCAGTAAGAAAGTACGCTGTCAACTTTTTCTTGAAAGTAACGAATTATAATCATTCTCATACAAAATACTTTCAATCAGGAATAAACTTTAACACGGAGTCTAGAGCAGAATAATTAGCCTAACAAACGTAAACAATATATAACCAGGCATAAGTAGTTAACGTACAGTATATAAACAATAAATTTTCTAGATAGTGGTTCATTTTCCAGTGAAAATACTGTCCGTAGACTATCCATCACATTTTAAGAGCTCAGCTCTCGTTTACGCGCTCGGCTGCTTTCTAGACACAGCATAAACATTTGATGAATGGTTGTCAAGCAGAAACTGTTAGGTTGAAGTATAATGGTAGGTTAACAGGTCAATGGTTAACAGGGTAATTTTCAGGTTAATTTTCTCTACCTAATATTG